ACACACACACACACACACACACACACACACACACACACACACACACACACACACACACGCCCCTAGGGGCAGTGGAAAAGTTCTTAACACAAAAGGCTTCCATACATCAAATCAAAAGGAGCTCGGGGCACTGAATGGCTTCTCAGGAAAGCATTAGAAAGAAGACTAACCTGTCGGTCTGTGTCATCATTTCCTAAGATAGTTTTTTTTATAAGGTCACTCACCTTCTTCCCCTTTCCTGATGACTGCAGCCTAGAGGGATGTGTAAGTGCCAGGGAATGGGAGGAACTTTATAGATTTGTGGTGATATTGTGTTCCCCAAAATATTGTGCACCCTAATAAATTTATCTGGGGTCAGAGAACAGAACAGCCACTAGATACAGAGGCCAGAAAATGGTGGCACACACGCCTTTAATCCTAGCATTCCAGAGGCAGAGATCCGCCTGGATCTCTGTGAGTTCAAGGTCAACACTGGAAACAGCCAGGCATGGTGACACATGCCTTTAATCCCAGAAAGCCAGCCTTTAATCCCAGGAAGTGATGGCAGAAAGCAGAAAGGTATATAAGGCGTGAAAACCAGGAACTAGGCAGGTTAAGCTTTTAGGCTTTTGAGTAGCACAGTTCAACAGACAGCCATCCAGTCTGAGGAAACAGGATCAGCTGAGGAATTGGCAAGATGGGGTGGCTATGGCTTATTCTGCTTCTCTGATCTTCCAGCATTCACCCCAAAAACTGGCCTTGGGTTTGTTTTATTAATAAGACTCCTTAAGATTCATGCTACACAGATCCCCTGCAGATGAATGCTGGATCATTGCCAGACCGTAGGTAGGTGGGAAGCCCACACCTGGGTATTATTTCTTTGATCAAAATGTTAATTACCATTTGTTTTGTTTCTGTGGGGCTAAGGATAGACCATGTAGCCTCAGACAGGCTAATCAAGTGTTCTGGCACTAAATTACACTCCTCCCCCGCCCACACACCTTTGCTCTGTCTGGGGCTGGTGATTGAACCCAGTCCTTGGCTGTACTAAGCAAATATTTAATCGTCTAAGTTACATCTCCAGCTCTAAGCCATTTTTAAAGATCTATTTTTATTTTACATGGACGAGTGCTTGCTTGCCTGAACGGAAATATGTGCCTGGAATCTATCCATAGAGGCCAGAAAATAGTGTTGGATTCCCAGGAACTGGAATTACAGCGCTTGAGGCCGAGGCAGGTGAATCTCTGTGATTTCTAGGCCAGCCTGGTCTTTATAGAGAGTTCCAGGACAGCCAGAATTAGAGAGGCCCTGTCTTAAAAAAACCAAAACACCAAAGCAGGAGAGAAAGTGTGCTAAGTCCTGGCAAAGCTTCCTGCCTTCTTTGTCCTGGGTTCCTGATGAAGGCTGCCAAGGGACCAGACTTCTCCAGCTGCTGCCACGCAGCTCCCCTGCTCTGATGGACTGGAACCTGGAACCACAAGCTGGAATAAACGCTTTCTGCCGTAAGTTGTATTTGTCAGGGTATTTCACCACAGTAACTGGACATAAACTCAGACAGTTGCCTTGGCAACTTCAGACAGTCTCTATGAATGAAAAACTCAATATTGTTGGTTTAAAATTAGTGAGGAATCTAGTGTCATGACATTGAAAAGAACATATATTTTATGACAAAAATTATATAAAATTCAAATTTTAGAATCTCTAAGTAAAGTCTGACTCGAATCCAGCTGTGTTTGTTCAAGCTGCAACAGCTGAGCAGCTGTGACAAAGGTCCTCAGAACCTAAAACAGTATTCTCTAGCCATTCAGCACCACCAGCAGGCCAAAAGCATGCCACAGGAAAAAAAGGTATCAGAATGCCTTTAAACCAGATAATATAAAAGTTGAAATTCTGGATATTATTAGCAGACTACAAAATAATTTCCTAAAACATGGTTTACCTCAGCTCATCTGTGCTCATCTGCCCAAGCCGCCCCTACACCTTACCTCTAACTCATTCCTCAGCACCCTACAGGGACCCCCATGTGGCCACTGTCTCGGCCACTGCTTCTCTACTGGACTGCCACATGCCCATGGGCATTCGTACTTATGTGTAGATACATGTCTGTACATATGCAGTCCGCCATCTACACATGTGTATATGAGGGGAGGCCAGAGGTTGGCATCGATTATCTTTCTCCACTTTTTTTGAGACACAACACTAACTGAACCTGGAGCTCACCGATTCGGCTAGACCGGCTGGTCAGAGAGCGCTGCCTGTCTCCACTGCCTACCCCAGTGCTGGGACAGCAGATGCATGCCACAGTGCCGAGCTTTTATATGGGTGCTCAGGATCTGAACTCAGATCCTTCTGCCATGTGGTAAGAACTTCACCAACTAAACCATCTTCATTTATATTTAAAACCCCCACATTTGGGAGTTTTCTTTGGGCAAAGAGCAGAAATTAAAGAAGAAAAACTTAAGTAAATAGCTAAAATAAAAATAACATCTAATGGAAACAAAAGGAATTACATTTTGGTAATAGAAATGATCCATGAAAGGAAAATGATACACGGTCCAAAATGAGTGTCATTTGGAAGTTATCTACCATGATTAGTTTTTGAAATGGAATCTCACTGTACTGCCCAGTTGATCTCTGGGGCTCTCATGAGCCTCCAGCACCAATCTCCCATGATGCTCGGGTAACAGGTACACACCACCACACCCGAGTCTATTCCAAATATTTTGAAGATTACATTCTAGAGTCTGCCACTTAAACACGAAGTATTTTAAAGTAATATCGTACTTAGAACTGTTAGGTCAAATTTTTATTCTAAAACTGTTTCAATATACAACTTTAAAGAAAAAAAATGGAATGCTTTATGAATTTGCTTATCAAATTTCATGCAGGGGGCATGCTGATTTTCTCAGGACTGCTACAGTAAAGTGTGACACCAAAGTGGGCCCCACATACAACGTTCTTCACACGCCAAAGGTGGCCGGAATCAACGGGGAGGGGGGGGGGCCTTCCTTCTTTCTCTTTCGAAAAGCAACCATTTATTAGAACAAATACAAGGGTATGAAATGTGGGAAAGAGGGGGAAGGGAGGAGAGTGACGTCAGAATTGACTGTCATCTGGAGAAAGACATAAACGTCTATTTTTTTAAAGCATTTACACTCAAAATGCAGATACATACATACGTCACTTATCCTTTAAAAAAAATCAAAAGCAGACTAAAGTTTGACTAAAATAAAACCAAGACATGCAACCAAAACTCCCCCACAAACCAAAAAAGTCCACAGAGAATTCAATGTCTCACTTCCATTCAGACCCTGGCTCCAAGGTATGCCGGCTTCCTCCTCAGAAGAGCACAATACTGAGGCGACCCAGCCTCTAGGCTCTCAAATGGGGATTTTCTAATTCAGAAAAAATACCAGGGCACAGGAGTGCACACCTACAACCCCAGCATTTTGGAGGTAGAGGCAGAAGGAATCACGTGTTCAGTTCCTCACTGATCCATCAGGGCTGACATCACAGGACAAACACCTTGTCCTGAAAACTAGAAACACAGGTAAACATGAAGAAGAGCTTCTCCTACAGTAGGAGCCAGGGAGGAAAGCAGACAGAGCGGCTGATGAACTGCTGCAGAATGTAAGACAAGAACCAACGCCCGGGACCCTCGTCTTTGAGGTTGAGCTTTTGGTAGGGGGGATGAAGTAACCACTGTAAGACAAGCCCAGATTGTGCTGTGCTCCTTAAAATTGCTCTGCAATCAAAAACAACAACAAACAACCAAACAAACAAAAACATCGGCTCTGCAGAGCCGGACCAACTTTGGTTTTACCTGAGCCTAGTTCAGTCCCCTGTAGCATGTCTGACTCACCCAAAGAGCTGACTGAGCTCCTGTGACGGTCACAGGCCAGGACACACACTCACTAAAAGACTGACAGGTAACGGGAAGGTTGTAGTGTTTCCCCTTCATGAATGTCATTCCATCATCTCCCCAATGTAGCCAAGGCTAGCTTCAAGCTTATTGTCAGTCTCCTGCCTCAGCTTTCCAATTGCTGGGGTTACAGGTGTTCACCATCATGCTCAGCTGTGTGGTGATATTTTATTTGTGCTGAAATGTGATTTTATGTGTATGTTAATAAATAAAGTTTGCCTGGAGATCAGAGGTCATAGCGAGCCACAGAGCAGAGTCAGGCGGTGGTAGCACACGCCCTTGATCCGATCACATGGCAGGCAGAGTTCCTGGAGGTCTGTATAGACAGGCAGCGACAAGGAAGTCACGTGGTTGGGTTTGGAGCCAATGAGAAAGTAGAACAGAAAGGCAATAAAAAGACAGGTCAGACAGGAAGAAACTCTCCCTCTCTGGGGAAGCTGCTGCTGGTGGTAAGCTAAAGCTAGGTGGCTCTTGCTCTGATCTCTTTGGCTTTAACTCTGTATTTGGCTCTGTGTTTCTTATTTAATAAGACTGTTTAGAAGTTCGTCTACACAGCGTACCACAGCACTTGACCCAGGTGGTGCCACACAGACGTCTATCCCACAAGACACCACTGAGTGGCACACTGGTTGTGCCCACCCCCCTACATGTGCGAGGATAGAAGACAAAGATTTTAAACACGGGAACCAAGTGAGGACTGCTGTCTTCCGCCCCAGTACCGCCGCCGAGTACTTCCTTTACCCAAACAGCTGGATTACTGTTGCCCCAGTACCGCTGCCGAGTACTTCCTTTCCCCCAAACAGCTGGATTACTGTTCTTCTTACTCTTTGGCCTTTCCTTCCCCACCGTCATGATCCCCTCTTCACACGTACAATCTTTTCTTACCTCAGACAGGTTTTGTAAAATCCAGACCAATCTCAAGGTGACATGCTGGGTGGTGAAACTGAAGCGACTGACTGTGGACATTAGTTTACTTCTACTGAAAAAGTGAAGGACTCGGCAGGCACCGTGCAATAGCTGTTTCAAGAACAAGAGATAGTTTTAAGAAAATACATTTAATGGTACTTGATTTTCTTTTTCTATTTATTTATTTATTTATTTGAGACAGGGTCTTACTATGTAGTCCTGACTGGCCTTGAACACAGAGATCCACCTGCTTCTGCCTCCCAAGTACTGGGATTAAAGTCCTGTGCCACAATATCCAGCTTAAGTAGTTTCTTTTTTTTAAAGATTTATTTATTTATACATATACAGTGTTCTGTCTGCATGTTGCCTGCACACCCAGAAGAGGGCACCAGAGCTCATTGCAGATGGTTGTGAGCCACCATGTGGTTGCTAGGAATTGAACTCAGGACCTGTGGGAAGATAGCCTGTGTTTTTTTTTTTTTTTTTTGAGACAGGGTTTCTCTGTGTAGTTTTTGGTGCCTATCCTGGATTTCGCTCTGTAGCCCAGGCTGGCCTCGAACTCAGAGATCCGCCTGGCTCTGCCTCCCGAGTGCTGGGATTAAAGGCGTGCGCCACTGCCGCCCGGCCAGCCTGTGCTCTTAACCGAGTCGTCTCTCCAGCCCTTGAGCAGTTTCTTACAAAACAAAACACAGAGGCCGGGGAGGTGGCTCGGGGTGAAGAGCATCTGTCGCTCTTGCAGAGCACCTGGGTTTGGGTCCACCACCCAGATGGTGGCTGACAATCTTCTGTAACTCCAGCTCCAGGGGATTCACCACCTTCTTCTGACATCTGTGGGCACTGGGCACACATGTGCTGCCCAGACATACATACATGCAGACAAAACACTCAGACACATAAAACAAAAAACGAGTCAGTCTTTAAAAAATACTTTTTAAGAACAAACAAAAACACAACATGGAGCCAGGTGTAGTAGCACCTACTTCAGTACCTGGAAGACAGGTAGGAAGACCACAAGTTCAAAGGCAGCCATGACGAATTCTAAGTCGGGGGCTACAACGGAGACCCCATGTTAAATGAGGAGGAGCTGGCTCAGAGGTGAAGGTGCTTATTGTGCACGTAGAGGACTGAAGTTCTGATCCCCAGCACTAACACAAGTGTCACGAGGATGTGGAGGCCCACCCGTAACTCCACAGACACCCATCCTGCACCCGCTCAGAACACTACTGTAGCTAAGAAGGCATCTAAGCACAGGCGTCAGAAGTCAACACCGGCAGGACTGAGTATCGGTAAGAACACCAAATGCTGCAGGCTGCATCTTGTGGGAGGGGCCAGAAAACGGCTTCATCTTTTCCCTCAATGACAGCACACTTGGGAGTGTGGGGTACTTACAGAAATGACGTGACAGCAGCCAGGACATGCTGCTCTTACTGTGCCTGCCGTCACTACCCTGTACGGGTGGCCCACAATGCACCAGGGTGTCATGTGAAGAGCTGTGAAAGTCTGCTGGTTAGCTACGTCATACTCATTCACTTAGTTAGAAACGATGATGTAAATTGGTCAACCCATGTAGTCTAATTCTTTCCCCTTGTCCCAGGCAGAAACATAAATTCTCTTAATCATGTCCACCCCAACCCCCCTCCAGCCTTCCTGAGGGTCAGTAGTAAAGCACGTAAATCTACCACAAATGCTTCTCGGGGCTAGTATTACCTTTCACTTTTTTGGGGAAATATGTGATTGACTCTTTTAGTCTTAATGTCCTAAAACATAAAAGGTAGGGGACTCTTACAGTTAAGAGACATTTATAGAAAAAAAATAAAAACATTTGATTTAAAAAATTACCTTTAGTACAAGAGAATTATTCCAGGATTTTACAAGTTCAGCTGCCCTTAGGTCTTGCCAACTAATGAAGTTGTGAAAATGATGTCCTGTTTTCCTAAGGGAGACGGAAACAGTAAAGTATAAATCAGATTCTATATTAAAGGTCGGCCACAGAGAACTGGGGATACTGGCAGGACATTTGCTAGAATGTGTGAGGCCCCAGGTCCAATCCGTAGCATTAAGAAAAAAAAAAAAAACTACCAAAAGGGAAAACAAATTTAAAAAAAAAAAGATACACTATAATTTCAAAATACAATCAAGTAAATGGAACTTTCTATTGAATTCTCTTGGTTTTCATAAATTGAACATGTGACATACAATTCTGTGACATTAACTGGATCATGGCTTACTCAGCACTTGAGAGGATGAAGCAGGACGGCTGCCATGAGTTTCAGGCTGCCGTGAGTTTCAGGCGAGCCTGGGATACAGAGCAGACCTTGTTTCATAAACCAAGCCCCGCCCCCAACCCCAGAAATATTATGTAACATATAGTATCAGATTGTGAATAGACTTTACCCGAAAGACTGTCCTTTTGAAACAATGTAACATGTACACTTTCAACAACAAAATTACTGAAAAGGCCTTTGGGATAGGCTCTATGTTTTAAAAAGCAAATAGGCCTGGCTTGGTCCCACATGCCTTTAATCCCAGCACTACAGAAGCAGGCAAATTTCCGAGTTCAAGCCCAGCCTGGTCTACACAGGGAGCTCTAGGTCAGCCAGGGCTACATAGTAAGACTCTGTCTCACAAAGCATGAAACAAACAAAAAGCCCATGGGTCCCCTTTCCTCACGTTCACCCCGATACAATCATGTATCACCGTCTGACCCACAGCAGATCTCCAGCACTCCTCAGCCTCTCCACATCTCTCAGCTTTAGAACTTGGTATCCAATCTGACTACTAAGATGTCATTTTCTTTATTTTCCAATAAAGAAAAGTCCAGGGTTAGCGAGATGGCTGGGCAGGTTAAGCCAGAGCAGCTAAGCCTAATAACCTGAGTTCTATGTCAAGAAGACCAACTTCCAAAAGTGCCTACACACACACACACACACACACACACACACACACACACACACACACACACACGGCGACACACTCATACACATTCACACACACATACAGACACACACGCAGTAATATTTCTTCTTATCTGTGTGTGTGTGTATGGGTGTTTTGTCTGTATATGTCTGCATACGATATTCACCCAGAGCCTGCAGAGGCCAGAGGAGGTCATCGATCCCCTAGAATTGGGTTCATTAGCCATATTAGGTGGTTCTTGGGCATCTTGTGGGTGCTGAGAATCAAACAGAGGTCCAGCTCCCAATAATAAAAATTTTTAAAAGAAAGAAAGTAGAAAACTCCAAGCCAGGCACGGTGACACGTGCCTGCAATCTCATTTAGAAGGCCTAAAGCAGGAAGACTGTAAGGAATGCAACACCAGCCTGGTCTACCTGGGATAGAGGGAAGACCCTATCCAAAATTAATTATCTTCCAGTGGTGGCGGCAAACACAAGCAGGAACACAAGTAATAATAGGTAGGAGGATGAGTTCAAGGCCCGCCTGGGCTACAAAAGAATTCTCTTCAAAAGAATAAGACAAAGCAAAGAAAAATCTAGCAAACCCTAGGTCAACACTACAGTAACAGTACAAAGGTAAGAAATACAGAAGGAAAAAGCTGTCTTCTTCTGAGGCTCCTGCAAGTTACCTGCTGGTGTGTACTATATTTCTCCTTTCTTATTTTTTTTTATTTTTTTTTATTTTTACAGTGCTGGAGATTGAACCTGGGACCTGAGCTGCGGGCTCCGGTCCCGACCTTTTCTATCTGAGCACAGGTCTTTTTCTGTGTCTTTTTCTGCATCATCAACTTAACCACCTTCAGCTCCTAATACTATCACTCCACCATTCACTTGTGCCGCCCATACCCCTAGTCACTTACTGGGTTCAGCAAACATTTCTGAAGGTATTAGTTCCAGAAGACAGAGATAGAGAGGTGAACAGAACACAGGCACTTTTGCTCTGGTGAAGATACTTTTACCTTTACCACGAGACTCGAATAAATAAATGATCACCCCATCGCTTACAGACAACAGGAACAAGCCCCATGAAGGAGAAATACAGGCACTTGAGTATCAGTTAGGGACAACCCGCCTGTGGGGAGGAAGGGAAGGCTTCACTGAGAAAGGACAATGGAATTGGCTCCCCGGAACCACAGCATCAACCAGGAACTCAAAACACGCTACAAAACAATCTAGAAGCTGATCTCCAGTACTGGCACATACTCCAATATTCATTTACCACAGAACTAGGTTAGTTTCAGCTCTATAAAAGCAGCAAACAGAGAGGACCGTGAATGACAGTGTCATAAAGGAACTGAATCCTGGTAACACTTGACCCCTTTCTGTAGCTGCTAACACCCTTGGTGTCAGGAACAATTAGTAATAACCATTAACACGAACATCAAATGCTACAGTAACAGCCACATTTGGCTCGGGACAGCCATTTCTATAGGGTAATGGCCAATACAAACTCCCCGAGGGCATCCCCTTTGTATCCGGTTCTGCAAGCAGCACAGAGTTCCTGGCTGAGAACCTCAGAGTTCCTGAGTGATCCCAGTGTGTGACTCACATTTTACACTGCTAATTGGCACACACACCCTGATCTGGGGTTGGCTGGCAGAATCTCCCCAAGAGACTCCCTCGGCAACTGAAGAAACAAACAAGTCGTGATTTTTCAAAAGCAGCAAAATGGAGGAAATCCGAATTACGATTATTGCAGAAAGCAGGCTAAGTACACCATGGACTAAACATGAGAAAAAGAAGGTTTAGCTCAAAGAATATGAAAAAATTAAGGACTGAAAAACGTTACCACTGAGCTTCCTGACCTTGTGGGAGTATGAGCGGGGAGCTCAAGGAGAAAACATGAAATTCAAAGTTTTAAACTTCTGGATATGAACACCATAAGGAAAATCAGTTTCTAAGGCCATGAAGACAGGAATGCACTATGGTTAAAAAAAAAAAAAAAAAAAGCCATAATAGCTCACACCCCAAATCTCTGAATTCAGGATTTGAGGGCAGTTTGGGTTATTTAGTGAGAGCTTATCTCAAACAAAGCTACAGAGCCAGGGAGATGGCCAGTGGGCAATAAGCCACATGCAGTGTGTACTTGTAATCCCAGAGCTGGAGAGGCAGGGGCCGGAGGACCCTTTGGTGCCTATTAGCCAGTCCAGCCACTGGTCACCTCCAGGTTCAGTGAAAAGCCCTGACTCAAGACGAAGGTGGAGATCAACAGAGGAAGACACCCAGGGTTGACCTTTGACCTCTATACATGTGTGCTCACATAAGCTTGTGTGCACATGGGGGCGGGGGGTGG